GTCGGCATAGTTTAACAAAGGCAAAATATACATCTTTTTCCCTAGAGTTGTGTTGCAATTTGTTGGTGCTGAAATGTATAAAATAATAAGATAAAAAAAATATATTCAGTGAGGCATGTGTTTCTCACACTTTTAACCATTGAAATTATTGGCTTCAAATCTGGCTCACAGCAATTGTTCATCGGCAATACTTTGAATGGCACAAACGTAAATATCAAGCAAACCGGAAGAAAAGCGACAACACCCTTTCCACAGCCAATATAATTCCCTGCATAAAGCAGAGTCGATTGTACGATTCCGACTATATCATGAGCATGCGTTTATGAATCACTATCAAATAGTAATGAAACCAGGTGTTCGCGAAAAGGTGAAGGTATCCTGCCACACCGGTGTCACCCGTCACAAAAGCATGGCAAGTCAATTGTTCACCTGAAACAACACGGGAACACATGGTACAAGTCAAAATGAGGAATTGCATCGGACATCATTTTGTCACTGATGTGTCATATTTGGAAAGCTGTACTATAAAACGTTTTGGTCAAGAAAAGTATCGACATTGCGCGTTTTCTCAGCCCTGGGCATATTATGGAATTAGCTGAGAAGCACAATATCTAAATTTAAGGGCAGGGCTGAGAAACCACAGATGATCAATGAAAGGAAGAATGACTGTCACATGTGAAATGAAACAATACACACAATGAAATGAGCGAGCCACACTTTAACAAAAGAAATTGTTTTCTTTTTTCAACGAGTGAATTAGTCATCTGTCAAAAAAGTAACAAGAACCCAATAGCGCAATTATGAGTGTTTGTCACATGCGATAAAACAGTCCTGAGAATCTAGAATACCATCTTTGTTAAGGGCCCAATGTGTCGTGTATACATGGAAACCTCTAACAATTGTGGTGCAACATTTGGTCAAAGTGGCCATATAGAAGCGTGCTACAACAATTCTTGAAGATCTCTCGGTTTGGGAGATCAATCCATTTTACCATTTCATTTAAGCCCATGGGTATAAACACGTTTTAATATTGTTATTTATATTCGAATAAATAACAAGGAGGCTTAAAACGTGCACTCCCGGTATTGATTATAAGAGGTGTTTGTTTTTTCCAAAAGGACATTTCGCGTCTGATTCGCACGGTTGTCATTACAGCGAGGGGCTAGCCAAGTGGTCAAAACGTTTGCTCGTCTCGCCCAACGCATACATGTAACTTCGATTGCCCACATGAGAAGAAAGCGTGGAACGTATTTCTGATGTCCTCCGACGTGCTGTTGCTGGAATACTGCACATAATAAACGGCATAAAACCATACTCACTCACTCTGTCCCCGTAAGGCGGCATGTACTGTAACTCGTACATAAATGCGTTTGACTCACTTGGTGCCACTGGACCGTAGATGGAAATTACCCTTTTCATCCGTGCAGATATTAAACACTGTGTGCGTAAAATCAAAATCATAACCGTCATCATGGCGTTAACATAGTGTGACTGACATTTTATACAGTGCCACGGATGTCGAAATATTGTGAGATTAGTAAAGTAGTTTCCGACCTTTTTCTGCCTAGTTTAAACTTCAAGCGAATGGCGGCGAATTTTGGTTATGCACCCTTGTCACATGCAGGTAACTGTTTTAGTGTCAGGGAACCAATCTGAAAAATAAATCTGATTAGACTACTCATAAAGATTTACTTTTCCCTACCGTAGAGTTATTGGCGTAAGACTACTGACGTTTACTCCGCAAGAGAAGTTGTTTTCAAGTATAGCATATTTTATCGAATGTGTGTCATGGCGATTTGGCGGGCGCTAGAATAAAAAACTCTGTGCAGATTATTGTGCCGACAATTGACGTATACATGCACGCACGTTTTGACCAAAAAAACTGTTGATGTTTTTTTATGTGACATTACTTTCGTTTCGTGTTAATGATCCAAATTCCTGGCCGTGTAAATGAGTTTCCAAAACCATTTCACATTTTGTCACAAAAGGAGATTTAAAAGTGTCCACAACATCTAAATGCTAGTCGACGCCATAATGTTAACTAATTGTGTCAACGTCGGGTTCACATGTGGTAACTCGACCCCAGTTTCTGCCAGTGATACACGCTGTAGAGAAATAATACAACCACTACAAACATCCATTTAACTTGATGACAACTAAAGTTCACAGGTTAACTAGTCAGGGACTGATTGCACTGTAAAGTTCGATTTGCTTTTCCTTTTTTTGAAACAGGGATAATGGCATTATGATTGCTTTGCTGAAATAGTAAATATCGTTTGTCTAATGTACATGTAACATGTTTGATTGTGCAAGATAATTATTGATAACTATTATGAATGTATAGACAATGTAATACAAAATCTCCTCCGAAAATGGAATATGTTATCATAACACGATATGGTTCGTATTTCCAACATTGTGCATTTGGTATGAAATCTAATGAAGATTACATTCACAAATTATTGATGTTTAGTGAACTCTTGATTACCATTTGACATTCTATCGCATCATTAATTTTTGTATGCTGTAGCTGCTGTACTAGAAAAGAGTAAACTCGTTGTTGCTGTTGTTGTTATATTTCAATGGCGTTGCAATCTGCAATTTTATTTGTATAAGCTAAGGACTAAGTCACACATTCAGGATGTTTATGGCATTACTCGATGGGACTATTCCCGATTAAAATTTGTCAAAATCCTAATCTAGATCCTGTGATTCGTGGCGGTAAGTTCACAAATTTGTAAATTAAATTTATTTCATCACGACAACAATCAGATATTGTTCAGGAAGCGTCCCGATTCAACCGTTTCCAGCCGAATTCGTCCCGATTCTCCCTTTGTCAATCCGAACCTGATCCGATTTGTATCATCCGCTTGGTAAAAAACGACCGAATCTGTCCCGACAGCGACCCCATTCTCCCGAATGCGATCAGACAGTGACCAGACAGTGAACCGACAAAGACGGTTCGCATTCGTTAAGATCTGGACGCAATCAGGACTCGATCGACAAGAAACGGCAATGAACAATTTCTCCAAATCATGCCTGTTCATCACGACAGCGTCCCGATCCAAAGGACACTGTCCAGCCAACACAGGATTGTTACGATTTTGATCCGATACAGCAGAATCTGTCACCACATAATCACGACATAGTCACGACATAGTCACGATCGCAACTAGACTAGACTAGACAAAATGGGTTGAGTTTCCCGAATGTTACGGGACGCACCATACTGTCGGTCTGCTTGGCCGACCTCTCTGGACCTTTCCCGATCCGTAGGACTCTGTTACGAACGTATACGACTGCGTCCAGACAATGATAGGACATAACTGATCACTGAGATTAGTAATCCGACCTTTCCACTTTTCGTGTCGCAGTGCTGTCTGATGTCAAACGGGAGCCATAATCGGCACTGTGTAAACTGAGTGAGTGAGTGAGTGAGTGAGTGAGTGAGTGAGTGAGTGAGTGAGTGAGTTTCCAGTAAAATCACATCGGAGACTCGAGAAAAATGCTGCACACATTGTTCCAATGTAGGAAATCGCTCTAGGCGACCCATTCCTTTTCTGATTCCAGATCACAATGCTAACTTCCACTCCAATGTTGACCTAAATGCCTGGAATCATCATGAACGTTAAATGGATGCACAGAGTAAACAGATTGAACACAAGGGCAGTGGATTTCTACTTGCGGTTTTTTTTTCATGCTACACTGTAGGACGTATACAAGACACGTGCACCCCCGCGCGCTCCACGCTATCACAACTTACAGTGTCACGTGGTTTCTATAACAAGTATTTTTCATCAAAAGTATGTAGCTGGTGAGCATACCGTCGTTTATGTAGAAAAAAAAATATATTGTCTCCTGCAGACATTATAGGGATAACTATCGTTGTAGCCGTAAACCAATTTATTTATATGCCAATTTATTTTATATCTTATCAGTATATAATAATAAGAAGAAGAATAGTGACACATGTGTTGAAAATCAGAGAATTATGTTCAACTGTGTTGTTTCTCTTACATTCCGGTGTCGATTATGAAAATTACATGAAGATAACAGCTGAGGAATCGCCATTTTCTATTCATAAATACAAATGTACTTTTGGGGCCTTTTTAGCACCTGATAACTGCATATCGTATACAATGCTCCCCGAAGACGATTTCTAAAGGCGCGCAAAAGTCGCAACATGTATGCCAGATAACTCTTAGACAAAGGATCAACATAGCGCAAAAGATATTTTGTAGATACATACCTACTGATGCAATCTAAGTACCTATACTGTCAGAAAGCGCACATATGTATCCCAGAAGGTAAACCGAATTGCAGGATATGAGAACATGGCATGAGTTTTAATATTTAGGTAATGATAAATAAAACAGAAAAAAATCAGAAATTCAAAGCTAGTGATATGTTTTCACAACAATGAATACCTGAAACATGTGCTATTGTTTTCACCGCCTCCGTGGTCCAGAGGTACAGCGTTCGTCCGGAGAGCAGAAGGTCCGCGGTTCGATCCCAGACCGCGTCATACCAAAAGACGTTAAAAGATGGTACATGTTGTTACCCTGTCTGGCGCTCGGCATTAAGGGGCTTAAATAAGGACTGGTCGGCTCGGAGTCAGTATACTGTGTCTGAGTGGGGTATTCATGTTAAACTGCGACATGGTATCTCAGTGAGCTAGCACTTTAAGGCGGCATCAGTCCGGACTAGTACAAGCTGCCACATAGCCACACACACACACACGTGCATACACGTTGCTATGTAAGTGCAATAATCTTGGACGCGACGTTAAACCCGATTTCACCTCAGTGGACACAATAGGTATTAGGTTGACATAATCATAGTGGTATACAAGATATATGTTTAAAGTGTGTTCAGAATGGAATGGTATAAAAACTGTTTTCTTGGCACATGATAATGTTTGCAACATATCTGCGCGTATTTTTGTGAGTGTGCATGTTTTATGTAACCTTGAATCATTCTTCTCTATAAGAGTTACCTACCTCACGTTTTAACACACTGTCAGTGTACTGCTGTAGTCTAACACGTAAGTTGATCAGGCTGTCGAAAAAGTTGTTTTCCTTCCAACACGAAACTGGGTCCATGTTTCAAGCATAGCGATCTATAAGTAAGGGAAGGCTGTTATGTGATGTTTGCTGTGAGCCACTGAGAAGTGTCGGTAAGCGTGATGCAAGTGTGATCGCGAGATTTTGGTTACATAGACTTGCGGCTAGTCTCCATCACCAGATTCCAAGGCTGTGGTCAGAGTTAACGCAACCCGCCCTTATCTCACCAGGTGTGATGCCCACTTCTTGGAAGAATTAAACCAATTTTGAAAAGTTTTTCAACGATTAATATCATGAAAAAAAATCTAGACTTTGTCAGATGTGTTAGCTGTACCCAATTGTCATGTAATGATATCTATACAAAGTCTAGCCTATGGCTTGTGTACGAAGATGAACCTCTATTGCCAGTGTCGTAACTTTAAGTATAATTCTAATTAATCAAACTGCACAGTTTCAGTGAGTGTGTGAGTGAGTTGGGTTTAACGCCGCTTTTAACAGTATTCCAGTTCTATCACGGCGTGTCAGCTTAATGTGGGAGGAAAGCCAAAAGTGATGCAGGTCTCAGCCGTTTACCACTTCGGTGAAACCCACAAGCAAGGGTATGGTGCTGACAAACCTAGAAACATAATTGGGGCGAACCGGGATTCGAACCCACAATCATAGGTTTCTGGCGTGTCCAAGGGACGCAACTCTGCACAGCGAATCGCGGCGCCTTAGACGACTGGGCCACCCGTGCCCCCTACACAGTTTCAAGGCAAATAAATCCTGCTATCAAGTCTCTTTTTTTTTTTTTCGTTCTTCAACATATGAAGACACTCCCAACAATAATGGCCGCAGGAGCGAGAGGCCTATATAAACACTGAATGTAAATATTACTTATTGCATTAATGCACACTTGTCATGGTGTGGCCATTGCCTCTTATTATGTTGCACTAATGTTCTGCAACCTGCATGTAATATATATCTTTAATTATTGTGTGTATGACTGCACCGCCTCCAATACTGTCTGATCGTCTGCGTTTCCTTTCAGAATACCACAGCTATAGCTTCATCACTGCCGTTTGTTTCCCTGGTATCAATCTTGTACGGTTAATGATGAACACTATTAATGTGTTTGAACTTTGCAAGTTCTACCCTGTACTATATGCTAATTGCATGTGCTACCTTCAGAATCAGGATAGGAGAACATGACATGAGTTTAGATATTAGGGTAATAGAAAATAGAAAACAAACATGAATTGAATCAAAGCTAGTGATATGCTTTCACAGCAATGACTTCCTGAAACATTTGTTATTGTTTTCAAGGAACAAGAGGTATTAGGTGGACCATCATAGTGGTATACGTGGCTCATGTTAAAGTGTTTTCAGAATGGAATGGCATAAAACCTGTTGTGTTGTGAGGTGATGAGCAACACGTTCAAGCAGTGCAGCACCGTGGCAGCCTGGGCTATAAATAGAATGGATGGCATGACCAGTGTTGACACAAAAGTTCATAAGAACTAACCATCAAAGCATGAAACAAATAATTCACTAAGGAAACAAGAGGTCGTGTATGAATTTATGTCAAACATGTTAATCTAAACCATGGTAGTATTTTCAAAACGAAAACCTATATCAGAATTGACAGTCAATAGTATGACCACTTACGTCTAGTGACCCAGAGATGTCCTCCTCCATTGTTCTGTGTATATGACGACAGCTAATCAAATGTTTTGCCATTGTTCTGTGTATATGACGACAGCTACTCCATTGATTTGCCATTGTTCTGTGTATATGACGACAGCTACTCCAGTGTTTTGCCATTGTTCTGTGTATATGACGACAGCTACTCCAATGATTTGCCATTGTTCTGTGTATATGACGACAGCTACTCCACTGATTTGCCATTGTTCTGTGTATATGACGACAGCTACTCCAAAGATTTGCCATTGTTCTGTGTATATGACGACAGCTACTCCAGTCTTTCACCAGTAATTACGTCACAGGGCTTTTGAAAGGAATATTGCTGTTGTTGCTGATAAACACATGTGTTTTGAACTACAGTAGTTGTAGTCAGTGAGTGAGTGTTGTTTTGTGATGTTGTACCCATGTCGGGAATCGAATCCGGGTCTTCGGTGTGACGAGCGAACGCTTTAACCACTAGGCATGGAGGTCTAATCAGGAATGTGTGAGTGTCATTGTAGTTAGGGGTTTAGCCAGGAGTGAGCTAGTGTTGTTGTTGATGTCTTATGTGTCTCATACCAGAGTAGTTAGGGGTTTAGCCAGGAGTGAGCTAGTGTTGTTGTTGATGTCACATGTTTTGCTATGAGTGGGTGAGTGTTGTTCTTGATGTCACATGTGTCTTATACTAGAGTAGTTAAGGGTTTAGCCAGGAGTGAGCTAGTGTTGTTGTTGATGTCTTATGTGTCTCATACCAGAGTAGTTAGGGGTTTAGCCAGGAGTGAGCTAGTGTTGTTGTTGATGTCACATGTTTTGCTATGAGTGAGTGAATGTTGTTCTTGAAGTCACATGTGTCTTATACTACAGTAGTTAGGGGTGTAGCCAGGAGTGAGCTAGTGTTGTTCTTGATGTCACATGTGTCTTATACTAGAGTAGTTAGGGGTTTAGCCAGGAGTGAGCTAGTGTTGTTCTTGATGTCACATGTGTCTTATACTAGAGTAGTTAGGGGTTTAGCCAGGAGTGAGCTAGTGTTGTTGTTGATGTCACATGTTTTGCTATGAGTGAGTGAGTGTTGTTCTTGATGTCACATGTGTCTTATACTACAGTAGTTAGGGGTTTAGCCAGGAGTGAGCTAGTGTTGTTGTTGATGTCTTATGTGTCTCATACCAGAGTAGTTAGGGGTTTAGCCAGGAGTGAGCTAGTGTTGTTGTTGATGTCTTATGTGTCTCATACCAGAGTAGTTAGGGGTTTAGCCAGGAGTGAGCTAGTGTTGTTGTTGATGTCACATGTTTTGCTATGAGTGAGTGAGTGTTGTTCTTGATGTCACATGTGTCTTATTCTACAGTAGTTAGGGGTGTAGCCAGGAGTGAGCTAGTGTTGTTCTTGATGTCACATGTAGTTAGGGGTTTAGCCAGGAGTGAGTGAGTGTTGTTGTTGATGTCTTATGTGTCTCATACCAGAGTAGTTAGGGGTTTAGCCAGGAGTGAGCTAGTGTTGTTGTTGATGTCACGTGTCTTATACTAGAGTAGTTAGGGGTTTAGCCAGGAGTGAGCTAGTGTTGTTCTTGATGTCACATGTGTCTCATACCAGAGTAGTTAGGGGTTTAGCCAGGAGTGAGCTAGTGTTGTTGTTGATGTCACATGTGTCTCATACCAGAGTAGTTAGGGGTTTAGCCGGGAGTGAGCTAGTGTTGTTGTTGCTGTCACATGTTTTGCTATGAGTGAGTGAGTGTTGTTCTTGATGTCACATGTGTCTTATACTAGAGTAGTTAGGGGTTTAGCCAGGAGTGAGTGAGTGTTGTTGTTGATGTCATATGTGTCTCATACTACAGTAGTTAGGGGTTTAGCCAGGAGTGAGTGAGTGTTGTTGTTGATGTCATATGTGTCTCATACTACAGTAGTTAGGGGTGTAGCCAGGAGTGAGTGAGGGAGTGTTGTTGTTGATGTCACATGTGTCTTATACTAGAGTAGTTAGGGGTTTAGCCGGGAGTGAGCTAGTGTTGTTGTTGATGTCACATGTGTCTCATACCAGAGTAGTTAGGGGTTTAGCCAGGAGTGAGCTAGTGTTGTTGTTGATGTCACATGTGTCTCATACCAGAGTAGTTAGGGGTTTAGCCAGGAGTGAGCTAGTGTTGTTGTTGATGTCACATGTTTTGCTATGAGTGAGTGAGTGTTGTTCTTGATGTCACATGTGTCTTATACTACAGTAGTTAGGGGTTTAGCCAGGAGTGAGTGAGTGTTGTTGTTGATGTCATATGTGTCTTATACTACAGTAGTTAGGGTTTTAGCCAGGAGTGAGTGAGTGTTGTTGTTGATGGCATATGTGTCTCATACTACAGTAGTTAGGGGTTTAGCCAGGAGTGAGTGAGTGTTGTTGTTGATGTCATATGTGTCTCATACTACAGTAGTTAGGGGTGTAGCCAGGAGTGAGTGAGTGAGTGTTGTTGTTGATGTCACATGTGTCTTATACTAGAGTAGTTAGGGGTTTAGCCAGGAGTGAGCTAGTGTTGTTGTTGATGTCACATGTGTCTTATACTAGAGTAGTTAGGGGTTTAGCCAGGAGTGAGCTAGTGTTGTTGTTGATGTCACATGTGTCTCATACCAGAGTGGTTAGGGGTTTAGCCAGGAGTGAGTGAGTGAGTGCTGTTGTTGATGTCACATGTTTAGCCATGAGTGAGTGAGTGTTGTTGTTGTTGATGCCATATGTGTCTTATACTAGAGTAGTTAGGGGTGTAGTGGGTAGTAAGTGAGTTTGAGTTGTTGTTGATGTCAAATGTGTCTCGAATTGCAGTAGTTAGGGGTTTAGCGGGGAGTAAGTGAGTTTAAGCTGTTGTTGATGTCAAATGTGTCTAGTTGGGGTTTAGCCAGTAGAAAGTGAGCTTTAGTTGTTGTTGATGTCAAATGTGTCTCGAACTGCAGTAGTTGGGTGTTTAGCCAGGAGTAAGTGAGTTTGAGTTTTTGTTGTTGTTGTTGTTGATGTCAAATGTGTCTCGAACTACAGTAGTTAGGGGTAGCTCAACAGCAATTGTCCTGTTTTATTCTCAACAAACCGAATCTTAATGTTTGGCAAGTCAAAGGAAAAGTGCCAACATCCTGTACCGAGTTTCGTACAGGTCACTCTGACATCGGCTAAACTTAATGTGAAGTCATCTGGCCGTAATCCATACTCTCTTGAAACATCTGATGCCCATTAATGTTTCCATTAATAACTAATATGCAATTAACTAAATCTTGGTGTCCCAAAGTTCAAACGGGTCAGGCTGACATGCAGAGTACTGACGTCGATTATATATGTATGTCTCGTCTAACAGGTGTGTTAGTGTGGCGCTACAATGCCATGCTCCTTACAGCACAAATAGAGTTTCTTATTCTCTATACCTCCAACATGGGGCGACTAAATGCGACAGCAGTCGACTATTGATGTGTAGAGTAAGACATGACCTTTTTATTACAGCATTCTGTATAAAGAGGATTAAAAGCACAAACAGCCTCCACATACTGACTTTGTCTCAGTGAAGCTCTTAAGGCTCAAATGCAGAGCCTCAGTCTCTGATGATGCATATCATCTAGTTGTTTTTTAAACTCACGTTTACAACCTCCACCATATACGATTGAGATGTAATCCAGTTTAGAGCGCTCTACAGTTGGGGGAGTGTTTTCTGATCCCCTCCCCGCTTTGAATCCCAAACGACTTTCAATGGAGCAAGTGGCTTCAGGCATTTATTTTTATTTATTTATTTTAGCAATAAATGTGTGGCAGAAAGGTCTTATTTTTGTTTCACCTTTTTCTTTTTTCTTTTTTTGGTAGCTTTGACATCATGAGGAAAGAAACTTACCTGATGTCCATATGTCATCAAAAATAATGAAAAGGGATTCTAAACATGGGTCTGGTAAATGCTTCAGGAGTTGATAATTAGTTGATAATATCAGTGTCTTTATAGTATGTTTCTTGAAAACATATTGCACCTGGTTTGAAATTTTGAATGAAGAATTGTAAGTCATTATATTTATTCCTAAGTACTCTACAGTTCCATTGTATTATATTTGATGCTTGAGCCTTGACGGCTCAAATGGTAATCTCTCATGTGAACATGAGCACCAAAGCGGTTGAGGAGACATAATCTCCGAGGATGATAGGGTATTGGGTGTTTGATGGACATTTAATTTTTATTTCACCTTTTTCTTTCTTTTTTGATAAGTTTTGTTCTGCATTTGCTGGTTCGACATGAATTGTCTCAGTATCAGCCTGAAAGGGAGAATATGTCGATTCGGATTGATTGTCAGCGTGACAGACGAAGCTACAACAGGTTGATCAGACTTGACCCATGTCAACTCAGTCCGACACAGAACAGATAAGGAAGTTGTGGCAGATTTGGCTACAGCAGAAGAAGAATTTAGAATAAAAGTAAGCTGCCTGGCGACGGCAAAGCTGATGTTTCGTTCTTGTTTAGTTTAAGAATTTTGATTTCTGTTTGATAAAGAGGGCATGACATGGAAGTGGCCATGTGTTGCCCATCACAGTTTGAACATTTCAAATCTTGAGGACAATCTGCACTTTTATTGTTGTCACCATAACGATGACAAACCATGGGATGTGTGCAGGTTTTTGAAACCATGTCCACTTTTTTCACATTTAAATCATCGGAGTGTACAGGGGACATACATCTTCACTCCGATGTTGACATAACCAGCTTTAATTGAATTGGGAACCGGTCAACGGGCAAGTGAATAAATATGTGTTCGTTTGAACAGTAGTAGATTTATTATCCTTTCTGGTAAAACGTTTGACAGACTAAACTTGATTTTTGTCTCTGCACATTTCACCTGAAGAGCTCCACTGCGCAAACGTGTCACATTTTAACCTCCCCACAATGGCCATGAACAGATCTGGATATACCAATTTGATTGGTTCATGATCTGTAACTTCGATCACAAGGAATCAACATATGTATTAGCCTTATCAAACGAACTTGTATCCAAATGTCTTCGTTTAGAAACAGAATGATTGTTAGCCATGGTGAAACAGGGAGGGGGATTTTTGGGGGTGGGGGATTGGAGGAGTAAGGTATATGTGAGACTGCATGTGGCATAGAGACCTGGGTGTCTGCTACGGGTGATCAAAGGTATATGTTGTACATTGGACATATAGACCGTGGTGTCTGCTACGGGTGGATCAAAGGTATATGTTGTACATTGGACATATAGACCGTGGTGTCGGGGATGGGTAATAAGTAAGATCCGCAGCGTGAGACAAAGAGAAGTAATTTACGCACATTATCAATGTGAAGGGGTTGGATCGAGATTAGTTAAAGTAAACAAGTAATCTAATATTTTTCAAGTTACTTCAATAGTAATAATACTCTCAACACGAGGCTATTGTGGCAACATACTTGGTATGTAACACAATACCCTGATGAAGTTCCCTGCCTTATTTGTGTCTGTGGTGCCACATGTACGCACAAGAATTTTCTGTCAGAGCATTCCTGAGTTGGCTTTTTGTCAAACACTTCGGACTAAGCTCCATGTTGATCCAGCACCAAGTCAGTCTTCTCGTAACTGCGACGAGCTGCAAATATCTCTGCATGATGGAACTAACAAGAGTTGTATTCATCAGTCTTGTGTTCTTGTGCGGTGTCAGAGACGCACATGCTGATACCAATTTGACCGACTTGACTGGACAAGTGAGAGTCCTGACCGCAACTATCCAAGCATGGAAAGGAAGAGTTGTTAATATTAAGACTGATATGAAACAGCACTTTAAGAGGTGGGAGTCATCACTGAAAAATCAACTGACTGACACGTTCATTCCTGCCCTGATAAAGCCTCTAGTGGAGCAAGCGATTACTGGCATCCTGAAAGAGTATAACATTAGGAATATTATGAGTGGACGTGTTCATGATTTAGTTCATTACACAAAGACACAACTTCGGGCAGTAACACAACAGCTCAGACGTGTAGAAAGGGAAAGAGACAGTTACAAAGAAAGTATTTTTAAGCTTCGTAGCGAGGTGAACACAGACATCCACAGTTTACAGCTGCAGCTGAATGAGACGAAAGCTGGTCTTCGCGATGCAAAGATGGTGAACACTTTTCTTAAGGAAGATTTAATTACACTAAATACAAGCTGTGTGAAGAGAGAAGAGATAGAAGCGCGCTCCAATGATGAACAGTCATACAGGGCGGGATTGCAGGAAATGCAGCAAAAGTTAAAAACTGACATTCAGAGTTTAAACATTCAACTAAATCAGACCATTGATGACCTACATGATTCAAATCAAGTAATCACTGGTCTTACAGAGGACATGGTGACACTGAATACAAGCTGTGTGGTGAGAGAAGATATTAAAGAGGTCAATGTTACTGACAGGTCGCTGACTACATCGTCGTTGTCGCAGGTGTCATTCACAGCATCGCCCCCTTCGTTTCCGGGTGCTGCAGGAGGTGAGACTTTTAGCAGAGATTTCTCTCTAAACATTCCATGCGAAAGATGCATGAAATATATTATTTCCTTTGAAAAAAGCATTAGTGTATGTCTTGAATTTCAAACAATATATATATCTATATCTATATGTATGTATATGTATATGTATGTATATATACAAGTTAAAGGCAGAAGAAGGCATATCCTTTGTATGTATGTATGTATGTATACATATATGTATGTATGTATATGTATGTATATATATATATATACATACATACATACATACATACATACATACAAAGGATATGCTTTCTTCTGCCTTTAACTTATGTCTAAACATTCTGTGTTATAAATGTGTAATACAATAAAATACACTGACACATAACCGTGTTATCCTACATAAAACTGTCTCGGAAAATTGAGCTGTCTGAATAAAGTCCAATATTCATATTCACCCTGTAACAGAACGACCAGCAAATAAGTAAAACATACATGGAGTTCTAAACACTGCACGTATCACAGTTATTGATCTAATAATCAAAATGCATTCTCCACATTTATCATGATGTCCTCCTTATGTAATATTCAGAACTTAGTTTTGATGAATAGGCATACATGTTTTTTACATCCGATCACATAAAGCTATGACAGATATCACATGATTCATAATACTCATCTCTGTGCTACATATTACTTAAACTGCACCAATGCACTCATATGTACACGATGTATAGTATACATATAAACATGCAGTTCACAAATACAGGCATGTAGCTTATGCTAGAACTAGAATGTTTAATATGCCTACCGAATGTGTGGCACTCAGGTGACAGTAGGCATAATCTACTGTTACTGCTTGTCACTGCAGATCCTGCTGTAAGTGATCAAATACACGCCACTTACATAGTTTAGTATACATATCATACAATTATATACACAGTAATAGTGCCATATCATTTTATTCTAAACATAATCTCAAATGGAATAGCATAGATAAACCTACATAAATATGCCCTTATCTGAGCCATACTAGCATTACCTGTGCTGTGATATACTCTTAATTACAAACACACATGATCATGGAGGTATAATCATTAATATACTTATACTAATGACTTTAACTACATTCATACACTCAAATCACACAATTATAACCTACACTGAACTAATGCTTACACTATACATGTTGTACTAAAACAAATATTATATCCTACATATTGTTTATAACTTCGTATTAACACACACACACACACACACACACACACACACACACACGCACGCACGCGCGCCCGCGCGCACACACACATATATGTTGTCATACTGTTTCATGCGAAAGAAAGTCATGATTCATTCGTTGGAAAGATGTCATCGCGTCAATGTTGCAAACAAAGGTAGCACGTTCAGATAGCATCATCTTCCCGAGGCATGATCGTCCACAAGTCAATTTATTAAAGTCGAGTTTCCAGCCCGATGAACTTTTGATCTTGACCTAGGGCGGCCTGTGCGGGGTCGATCCTTGACTTTTGTGCAGAACATATTGTCTACCCACCACTGACTTCCGCCAGTTTCCGGAATGACATTAACTCTTAGGAGTTCATTACATTGTAGACCGCCTCCGTGGTCTAGTGGTAGAACATCCGCCCGGAGAGCGGAAGGTCCGGGGCTCGATCCCCGGCCGCGTCATACTAAAAGACGTTAAAAGATGGTACTTGTTGTTTCCCTGTCTGGTGCTCGGCATTAAGGGGATAAAACAAGGACTGGTCGGCTCGGAGTCAGTATACTGTGTCTGAGTGGGGTATTCATGTTAAACTGCGGCATGGTATCTAAGTGAGCTAGCACTATAAATCGGCATCAGTCCGGACTAGTACAAGCAGCCACACACACACACACACACAGACACACACACACACACACACACACACACACACACACACACACACACACACACACACACACACACACACACACACACGTGCATGTGTAAGTGCAATAATCTTGGACGCGGCGTTAAACCCAATTTCACCTCACCTCATAACATTGCAGACGACGCATTCCTACTCTGATCATAAATATTGCAGTGCAGCAAGCGTAGAGAGTTTACCAGCTCACGTGCACGGAGGAAGGTTTGTGTGCAAGGTTTCGTGTGTGTTGATGCGTTAGGGTTTGGTTCCGAAACCGTTTAGCGTCTGTCTCTGGCAGTCTTGTTTGCAAAGCTGATCGTCCTTCTGATCATAATATCAAAAGACGGGACACCCAATACCCAGGTACATAGGTTAACGTCGGTAGGAATACTCCCACCAATATTCATTACAATATAGAAAAGAGCGCATGACTCAGGTAAAAACTAGAAAAGGTGCGCGTCTCTTAAATAAGTTTTTAGTAATACGACATTTACACGGGGTGAAAATATACAGGAGCGTTCTACTAGGCTAACTATACTACTCAAAAGCAGTTAGGGAACACTGATATGTTTGCACTTAAAATAAAAAAGGAACAGAAGACTGAGTAGTAAATTCAATAATGACCGAGTATACAGTAAGAAAGAATCATGAACAATCCATTACATTTCATAACGTGAGTGTCAGTGAGTTGGATTTAACGCCGCTTTTCACAGAATTCCAGTTACATCACGCCGTGTCAGCTTAATGTGGGAGGAAAGCCCGAAGTGATGCAGGTCTCAGACGTTTACCACTTCGGTGAAACCCACGAGCACGGGTATGGTGCTGACAAACCTAGAAACATAATCGGGGCGAACCGGGATTCGAACACACAAACATTGGTTTCTGGCATGCCCAAGGGACGCACATCTGCACAGCCTTAGACGACTGGGCCACCCGTGCCCCCGAAAGAATCATGAACAACCCACTACATTTCATAACGTGGAAATCCAGGCCATGAGAGAAAAGTCAGTAACGAGTGTGTCCGCCCCTAGCAGCCACACATGCAACACAACGACGCCTCATGGATGTCACTAATGTCTGTAGTGTGTTCTGTGGGATAGCAGGCCACTCAGCCATTGAGCAAGCTGGCGCACATCTTGCGGTGGAGGGTGGCTCTCTCTAACACGTCTCGTTAACAGATCCCATACGTGCTCAATGGGTGCCATATCAGGATAATATGCTGGCCATTCCATGCGAGTAACATTGTTTTGTCCCAGAAAGTCAGGGACTACGCGTGCACGATGAGGTCTAGCATTGTCATCCTGGAAAACCGTCTGTGTGCCTATTCGATGAAGACAAGGGATCATCATTGGTCTCAGAATCTCATCCCTGTAGAGAACAGCATTCAAATTCCCGTTGATGACGTACAGATTGGTTCTGTGATGAAATGAGAAGGCGGCCCACAACATGACACTACCACAAAAAAAATTGTGTTTCCAACGCCTTCTGTAGACAAGAACACGACCGTCATTATGCTGCAGTCAGAACCGAGATGCGTCAGAAAATAGAACTGCTGACCACTGTAAAAAGTGTTAATGATGTTTTCTGCATCCACTAGAAACACAGGACTGGAGAATCATGTCTACTGTACAGTGTTAGGAGTGTTAATGACGCTACCTGACGCCACTAGAAACACAGGACTGGTGTATCATGTCTACTGTTCAGTGTAAGAAGTGTTAATGACACTATCCGCCGCCATTAGAAACACAGGACATGATACACCAGTCCTGTGTTTCTAATGGCGGCGGCAAGTGTCATTAACACTTCTAACACTGTACAGTAGACATGATACACCAGCCCCGTGTTTCTAATAGTGGCGGGAAGCGTCATTAACACTTGTAACACTGTACAGTAGACATGATATACCAGCCCCGTGTTTCTAATGGCGGCGGAAAGTGTAATTAAAACTTCTAACACTGTACAGTAGACATTATACATCAGTCCTGTGTTGGCAATGGCTGCGGGAAGTGTCATTAAGAATTCTAACACTGTACAGTAGACATGATACACCAGTCCTGTGTTTCTAATGGTGGCGGGGAGTGTCATTAACACTTCTAACACTGTACAGTAGACATGATACACCAGCCCCGTGTTTCTAATGGTGGCGGGGAGTGTCATTAACACTTCTAACACTGTACAGTAGACATCATACATCAGCTCTGTGTTTCTAGTGCAGTCAGGAAGAGTCATTCACCCTTCTAACACTGTACAGTAGACATGATACACCAGTCCTGTGTTTGTTATGGCGACAGAAATCGTCATTAACACTTCTAACACTGTACAGTAGACATGATACACCAGCCCTGTGTTTCTAATGGTGGCGGGAAGTGTCATTAACACTTCTAACACTGTACAGTAGACATGATACACCAGCCCTGTGTTTCTTATGGTGGCGGTAAGCTTCATTGACACTTCTAACACTGTACAGTAGACATGATACACCAGCCCCGCGCTTCTAATGGTGCCGGGAAGTGTTATTAACACTTCTAACATTGTACAGTAGACATGATACACCAGCCCCGTGCTTTTAATGGCAGCGGGAAGTGTCATTAACACTTCTAACACTGTACAGTAGACATGATACACCAGCCCCGTGCTTTTAATGGCAGCGGGAAGTGTCATTAACACTTCTAACACTGTACAGTAGACATGATACACCAGCCCTGTGTTTCTAGTGGCCACATAAAGTGTCATCAACACTTCTAACACTGTACAGTAGACATGATACACCAGCCCTGTGTTTCTAGTGGCCACATAAAGTGTCATTAACACTTCCAACACTGTACAGTAGACATGATACACCAGCCCTGTGTTTCTAGTGGCCACAGAAAGCGTCATCAACACTTCTCACACTGTACAGTAGACATGATATCAACACTTCTAACACTGTACAGTAGACATGATACACCAACCCTGTCTTTCTAGTGGCCACAGAAAGCGTCATCAACACTTCTTACACTGTACAGTAGACATGATACACCAGCCCTGAGTTTCTAGTGGCCACAGAAAGCGTCATCAACACTTCTTACACTGTACAGTAGACATGATACACCAGCCCTGAGTTTCTAATGGTGGCG